AATCTGATATGTTTGATAAGTTCAAGTTGACAACTGATCTAAAATATAACCCTCGATCTGTTACTAACTCGGACTACAAATGGGTTGTTAATTTTAACGCCCCCAAAACAAAACTGCTCAATTTTGATTGCCTGGGAGAACATTTTCTTGGCTCCCCTTGGAAAGATGAGTAACTCGTCGTGCCTTCTCCGACTAACGCTATCCATTGACATGATGTAAAAAGAATATATCGAATCAATGTTAGGTCTGCTGCTAAGAAGGTTGCTTTACTGTATCGTGCCAGAAAATCTTTTTCACCAGATTCTATCTTACACATTTATAAGTCTACAATTTCTCCATACATTGAATATTGCTGGCACAACTGGCTTAGCGTTTTTATATGCATTTAGAGATTAGTGATAAAATACAAAGAAGAATCTGCAATGTTAAACGTTCTGCTCTGGCATATCGGCCTCTGTCACTCTCCCACAGTCGTTAAAGAGATTACCGCGACCTTTCTATAAATATTTTTACAATACTCTGACTAACTTTCTTCTTTCATATCTAGACTTTATGAATTTAAGTTCAGTACTAGATTGGCGGAAAGGTCATTTTATAGTTGAAATGGCTAGCTGTAACTGTAAGTTCTATGGAAACAGTTTTTTCTCTCGCACTTCTTACTTGGGTATTTCTCTTCCGGCTTCTTGCTTTCCAGTCAACTTTCGATATTATATATATATATATATATATATATATATATATATATATATATATATATATGTGTGTGTGTGTGTGTGTGTGTGTGTGTGTGTGTGTATTTAATCTTAGCCTTATCAAATATTTCCTTATTGATGGAGTTGGTAGATTAGCCGCCATCTAAACAAAAAGCACTGTTCTATCAAAATATTTCTGACAATTAAAGAATGAGGGCACCTCACCATCAATCAACTGGGAAATTATATATATATATATAGATAGAGATACGTATAGGATTGGTATATATATAAATAAATAAATAAATAAAAAACCAGGAAACTGCGGAGTCGGATAAAACTAGATTTAAGTAATTCTTTTGTATATATAAAAATAATATTGTTTTTATATATATATAATGTATCACAGCACATCAGTGCAACTAGAGAATCGAAATGCTTCAGGCCAGGATCGAAACCCAACAGATTTGATATCAGTTGGAGTTTCTACTCCTGAGTCATCATAGTCATCCACAGACACCATGTTTCGATATATCACAGATTCCAACCAGGACAAATATATATATATATATATATATATATATATATTAACTTATATATATATTTACATTTTATTTTATATGAAGGATTCATTGTAATATAAATTGAACGGTACCACAAACTTGATTTAAAAGAACTGATTCGACGTGCCAATTTTCGGGATAACAACGGAGACATAACTCTATTTATTGAACTATTTAGTTCATGCCACATTGACTGATAAACACCTACCAAAAACAATTTTCAAATTACCATATTAGTAATAAAAGCACTCTCTTAAATTTAAAAAAATAATACAACCTTAGCGTTGTGACTGCACGCTCCAAAATTTTGTATCTGTTATTGTCATGGGTCCTTAGCTATAACTAAAGAATGAACTCTTCCTAACACAATGGATACTACGCCTCTCAAGAGAGAGGGACGAATCATTCCAAGCTTCTCGGCTTGACGGTCGAAGTCTCTGCCTCTGAGCAGAGAGGAACCCGGACGAGACTTCGCCGAAGGGCAGAGTCTCGTTCGGGGAGGTTGACCAACCCGATCCCGTTTATACGGGTTCTACGGGCATTTTTTTGGCGGAGCCTACGGGCTCGGGAAACCCACGTTAAACTCGGCCTTGTGTCACATGCAACACTTGTGGGAGGGTGGCTAGATACCGAATCAAGCCGAGAAGCTCGGCTTGACGGTCGAACTCTCTGCCTCTGAGCAGAGAGGAACCCGGACGAGGCTCCGCCGAAGGGCAGAGTCTCGTTCGGGTTCTACGGGCAATTTTGGCCGAGCCTACGGGCTCGGGAAACCCACGTTAAACTCGGCCTTGTGCCACATGCAACCCTCGTGGGGGGGGCTAGATACCGAATCGAGTCGAGCCGATAGTAGTTCACTCCAAACCAGACTGACAGTCATACCAACACCTTCCACATCTTGTAATATACCTTCGTTATTTCTACTCTTGTGTTCGTGTTGTTCTTCCTTGGTCCTAACCTAGGCCATAACAGTTATCAATAACATATTTAAAAAAAAAAAATACTTCGATTAGCATTATATTTTTCGTCTCGGATGCTAGTTGAATTTTACCAAAAAAATTAAATAATTTCCATGCCTGAAGATGACTGATTGTACAGTTCAAATATATATATATATATATATATATATATATATATATATATATATATATATATGTCTGTGTGTGTGTTGCAGTCATAAACTCATTATATTCATTTTGTACACAATAATATTAAAGTAAAATAACGTAAAATTATTTATGAATTTTACCATTATTTCATGAACTCAATATGGGCAGTTTAAATATATCGTCGGGAAGATTTCGCTCGCACCCTGTAGTTTTCAGATTTCTAATTTATCAAAATCATTTAACGTCATATTAAACCAAGTGATGCCATTATACGTTTGTTGTAATACTCATATTTGACCCAGAATAAATTATTGTATAACCATCGTGAATTGAACTGAGCCGACTCGACACTTTTCTAAATTGCTTCAGTCAGTATTTAGGTAGATTTTCATTAACCGTGAAAGTTGACCAGTCAGTTATTAACATATCGCAATTTAGAAATAAGGCTCTAAATAAATGGCACATTTTGCCTGATTTATGTAAGACTGGCGTTTCACACTCGCCGAATTAGGCGATCTCATAGGGTGTTAAAATATTTCTAAAAGGTGCTACTTATTGCCAAATTCAGGTTGCAGCCATCTGAATAATTTATTGTAATTTCGTGTAATTGGCTTGTTAAATCATCCTGGCAGAGACAAGAGGGTACAATTTGTACAGCTGCCCTAGGGCGTTGTATACCCTCAGCCACGTCTGAATTTATTTTAAATTATAGATAAATAATCTGTGGGGTTGAGAATTTTAAGGTATTTTAAAATGGATATCTTAACATGATATATATATATATATATATATATATATATATATATATATATTAAAAAATTAATTGATTTAAAATATGTTTCTTTTCGCTACACAGTTCTAATCATGTTTCAAAAAGCTCTATTTTGTAAATAAAACGCCAGATTATATATCTTACTGTTCTTTCTTTATATATATATATATATATATATATATATATATATATATATATTCCTCTCTCTGTCTGTCTCTCCTCTTTTTATATATATATATATATATCTCTCTCTCTCTCTCTCTCTATATATATATATATATATATATATATATTAGACATTTTATGTTTATACATTCTTTTATAGATACAAATATTTAAGTAAATGCTCTGTTTATAATAAACAGTATTAAACAACATTTACTGGCCTGAATGTCCGAGAAATTTTCACAGAAAATATTCGTCCTCCGACAGGATTCGAACCTGTATCCTATACGGAACCGTCATTTAGCTTGACGTGCCTTAACCGATTTGGTCACAAGAAACAGGTAAGAAGAGCAAATATAAATAATCCTTCATCTTCTATGTGCCATGTGCCTTCAGGGCGTTGGCGATCACGGCTCACCATGATCGACTTTTCTTTAGAGCTCTTAAATTTTTTTCTCTTTTTGTTATCTCTCCTAAACCTATCTTTGCGATCTATTTACTAGGTGTTTTATACATTGTTTTCCTCTGTCCACCTTATCTTCAATCTGACCTGTGAGTATCAATTTTTCCAAGCCTTCTTTCTGCTTAATACAAAACAAAACTCCCGAATCTGAGTTCGAAATAATGTACAGCTGTTTGGAATTTGAAATCGAAGAGCCTTTGTTTGAATCCCCGTCGCATTCGTTACATTCTCTTACGCGCAAATGCCTTTGGGAAAGGTATAAATCCATCACCTCTCACTCCCCGCTATGGGTTAAATAGTAGGACTTATGTTTGGAAAATCAAAACAGTTAAGGCAATATTCACTCCAATCCAAAACACACATCGGTTGTAAATAACCCACAAAGGTTGATAAGTTAAAAAAAAAAAACCCAAAACAATAATTAATTTCAAAATTTTCCGTCACTATTAACCAAACCGACACGTTTATTAGAATTTCTTATGAACCGGCACGCTTATTTTGATATCATTATATTAAAAAATGTCTTTTTTAGACATCAGTTGTAATTCATTTGACCGATTCGATTTTACAGCTTAACGTTTTGCAGGCTATTTAACGACTGAATTATTTTTTTTTAGACAGTAACAGTATTTTGGAGCGATAAAAAGGATTTAGTACTAAAGGTCTTACTAATTAACCCATATCAGGGTTGGTGTTAGAAGAGGTGATTCCATACCTTCCCCAACGATAGCAGCGTGTGAGTGAATATACGGAATGTAACGGAAATTGTAACTCGGCTCTCCGATTAACAATTCCGAGCCATAATCCATTACACCAGCCGCGCATCCAAGCTTACAGCGCCTGGTATTCCAAATCGGTCAACCATCGTTGCTTAACTTTGCCGTTTATAGAGAACCAGTGTTTCTACAAGATATATGCGTAAGCCCATTACACAACCCGTACATCCAAGCTTACAGCACCTGGTATTACCAAGCGGTCACCCACTCGAGGTACCGACCAAGGTCGATGTTGCTTAACTTCGATGATCGTAAAGGAACCTGTGTTTTATAGATATATGACCGTAAGTTATATATCTAGTCACCACTCGCAAGTTCAAGATTAAGCACCTGGTATTTTAAAGCGGTCATCCACTGAGATAGTGGCCAGGCTTGACGTTGCTTAACTTCGGTGATCGTAACGGTACCAGTGTTTCAAAGTTATATGACCTTAAACCCCAGTACAACATGAACGCACTCAAGTTTACAACACCTAGTATTCCGAAGTGGTCACCAATCGAAAAACTGACCAGGCTCGACGTTGCTTAACTTCGGAAATCGTGAGGAAACTGGTGTTTCAATGTGATATGTTCGTAAGCCCATTATACCACGCGAACATCCAAGCTTACAGTACCTGGTATTCCCAATCGGTCACCATTTGAGGTACTGATCAAACTCTATGTTGCTTAACTTTGGTGTTGGTAAGGGAAACGATGTTTCAAAGATATATGGCCGTAAGTCCATTGCACCACCTACATGTCCATGATTAGATCACCTGTCATTGCAAATCGTTTACCGATTGAGATGTTGGCTAGGCTTGACATTGCTTAACTTCAGTGATTGTATGGCTACTAGTGTTTCAAAGGTATGTAAGCCCATTATGACACACGTATAGTACCTGGTTTTCCCTAGCGGTCACCCATCAAAGTACTGGACAGGTTTAACGTTGCGTTGAACGAACAGGAATCGGTGTATCAACGTGATATGGCCGTACGCCGGCACCTGTCTTTGATTAAAAAGGAGATCTGAAATGATTCCATCAAAAAGGATCAACTGAACAGGAAAAAAGAAAGAAAGAAGCTACTTCGAATAACCGAGATAATTCATCTGCGTATGACAGTTAGAGAGCAGACCGGTTGAAACTTTCTACTCCAACAACAGGGATGACGAGAGTTATCGTAATATTAAAATAATCAGGTTAATATAGATTTATTGTTTTGTCTCTTTTTTATGAGCGCAATATAGAAATGATAATTTTTATCGTACTGTTTAAGTGACCTTCTACCATCAATCTTTCTTTTTTTTTGTTTTGGTTTTCATGATGTCCTTTCATTGTTCTTGTCGCAGGTGTTTGAATTATTGATAAATAACCTTTCTATTACCCGCGTCAAATAGACGTCGGAGTTGCGCCTAAACGAGACCGTTTTTATTAGTGGTCATTAGTCCATTTTTACGGGCTGGCGAGAATCAAGTGACCGACGTGCGATCACAAGCGCCTGGCACACGCCAAACCGCCACCATCTCGTAATATTCGGACGTCTCCATTACATAAAGCTGATTGGCCGCCGATGCGCATGCCCAGGTTATAAACCACACAGACGTTTTTCCCACCGGAATAATAACCAATATAACTTGTCGGCTGTAAAATCAGACTTTCGATTAAATTCGATTTGCGGACCGCATTAGTCAGAAGCCGCAAAATTCTGAAATAAATATTCAAGAAAGCACGGTTGTTAAAAGCACAACTGATGGTAAAGGGAAGTTGTTGGGTTTGAGGGTATGGTTTGCTGCCCAGTTACAGAGAATAGACTTTGTTTAAGTTTTCCAAGACTCGAAAAATGCCAAAGGAATTTAGATTCGATGATTGTGTATCGTTTTAAATGTTGAACACAATATCGTTGTTTAACAGATAAACGTAAGTTGGCCTTTCTAGCATTGGGTGCAGCCAGTTTACGGAATGAACAACTTTGAATTTAAGAACTGCAAATACCTTCAACCCTTTTTTTTTATCAAATTGGCAAAGCAATTCAAAATCTAATAAAGAAAAAGAAGCTGTAACAGCCATGATCGTCTGAAGTGTCATAGAAGTTTTAAAACTTGTCGCTGAAACTATAAATAAAATGCTCCTCCATTTTTTATTTTTTTTTTGTGGTGGGGTAATCATTTTATCCCAAGAAAAGCAGAAATGTCACTAGTACGCAGGGGGAGGGTTTATAGGAAATAAAAATTAAAAAGAAGACTGAGAATAGAGAGGATTTGAGATTAAAAAATAAATAAAAGATGAACGGGATTCAAGAAGATATAAGATGGTGATTGACGTTGCATTTACATTTTTGAAGATTGAAGTTATCAGGGAAGCAAGTAAATGGAAAGGAGTTCCAAAGGTGGGAAGTGTGAGAAAAGAAACTGTCGAAGTAGAAGCAGTGGTTGCATTTAGCAATTTCAGGTGGGACCTCGATGCCAATCTAGTGGCACGCTTAAATTCATTCAGTCGCGGTAACATGGAAAAAAGGCTAATCAGACATCCACAGATTATTTTTTCTATCACCCCAACGCCAGCAACACGGGAATGCCACAAGTACACAGGGTGTTACTGGGGGTGAAAGTGTGATTCAAGTAGATAGAAGATGGCGATCGACGTTACATTTAAGTTTTTGAACATCGCCTTTATCAGGGAAGCAAATAAACGGAAGTGAGATCTTCAGGCGGGAAGTGCAAGAAAATTCATACACCTCTGGCGTCAGTTTAGACTGAATTTTTCGTTTCCTTCCTTATTTCTAAGCTTTGATGCTGAAATATAATTTTGGAAAATAAAAAAAAAAACATCAACGAAATAAGTTGTATAATTTCCAAGTTTTCATCTGAAATCACGAGAGTATGAACTTTAAGCAAACTGGTCATAATATACATTATTCTAACTATTGTCCTCATTTTTTTCGCCATATCTATCACAACGTTCAGAGGGAAATTGACGGGAGATAACTGATAACTGACATCCATCAAACATGGCACGTGGAACTAGAACAGTCTACCCCAGTGAGCGAAATAAAGGGTTCGGTTCGACATTCCAACCACCTGAAGAAGGCCGGAGCGTACAACGGCCGAAAAGTTGTGATATATATGGCGAAAAAGTCCGAATAATGTAAATAATGTACAATGTAAATAATGTACAACATAATACCTCATCTCAGAAATATAGACAGACTCTGGTCATAATATATAGAAATTATATGTTTAAAGTGACGTCAGGAGAATACGGTTGAAGCTAGCACAAAATTCCCCTTATAAAAACCATTAATTCATATACTCCGAGAGGACAGGCCGAGTAAGGTTTTATCATCCTTCAGTTGCATCTCTGTCTTCGGGCAGAGTACGACTCGGTGGCCTCTCCGTCAGAGGACAGAGGCGCAACTGCGGAAAATCATACGGTGAGGTGTCCAGCCATGGGGAAGAGATGCTCGAGGCTGCACCCTTTCATTACACTAGAGAGAGGGATCGGGGCTCGCATCAAGGCCAGCGCAAACAACGGTTGCGGGGACCCCGGGGAATTATTGTTCTTGGCGTCTGTGTTCTCCACATTAAACACGACCTTGTGTCATGTCCTAGTGTAAATATCTACTCCGAGTGTTAAATTAGTGAGATGATTTATTTATTTTTTAAGCGTTTAAACTATCAATATCAACTATAATTTTGTCAAGTCAAAATGTCGTTTGAGTATGTTTTCAAGTATCAATTTAAAACCAAAAAAATTACACAAAATGCTCAAAGTATATGGGGAAAAAAGAGGCTGTAAATTTAAACTGACACCAGTAGGATATTGTTTCGATTAAGCAAGGTGATAATGTCACTAATAGACAAAGAGCTATTGGTCGTGAAAGAAAATGAGAAAATTTTTGAAGGAAACAGAAACCCAATCATTTATCCCAAGGAAAGCAGAAATGTCACTAGTACGTAGGGGGGGGGTTATAGGGAATAAAAATTAAAAAGAAGACTGAGAATAGAGAGGATTTGAGATTTAAAAAAAAGATGAACGGGATTCAAGAAGATATAAGATGGCGATTGACGTTGCATTTACATTTTTGAAGATTGAAGTTATCAGGGAAGCAAGTAAATGGAAGGGAGTTCCACAGGTGGGAAGTGTGAGAAAAGAAACTGTCGAAGTAGAAGCGGTGGTTGCATTTAGCAATTTCAACCATAAACAGGTGGGACCTCGATGCGAATGTAGAAATTAAATGTTTAAACCGACTTCAGTAGAATACAAAATTCCCCTTATAAAAGCCATTAATTCATATTACTCTGAGAGGACAGACCAAGTAAGGTTTTATCATCATTTATAAACCTCTACTCCTGTTCAAAACACAAGGTTGTAGTGTCAAACGGAAAATAAGCGGTTTTTAATTTTTTTTTGTTTTTGTTTTACGGCATATCAACTTCAATGGTCTATTTAATGCTGACAAGATTTTTATTGTTGGTAATATTTTTTTTTCAAAAATATATTCCTGATATCTTTTTACATGTGTAGCTGAAATTTTTTTTTTTCAAAAATGTATAGCTGATAATATTTTTCTCTAAAAAGTATTGCTGGTAAAGTTTTTTTTTTTTTTTTTTTAAATACATTACTGATAATAATGTATTGCTGGTAATATTTGTTTTACAAAGTATTTCTGGTATTAAAACCTATTTTCACATTTTCATAGTGTTTTAACCCCAGTTTGGGGGTTAACTATTTACCCATAGCTGAGACCCAAACAGCTGCTACCACCCCTGGTCAGGGCGGACCTGTGAACACCAGAAATTAAGAGGTGGTTTCACGCTCCTCAAAACCTCTTGCTGTTGGACGTAGTTTATCGTCTTACCCAGGACGCGGATGTAGTTTATCTTCATACCCAGGACACCTATGTAGTTTATCGTCATGCCCAGGACAGGGATGTAGTTTATCTTCATACCCAGGACACCGATGTAGTTTATCGTCATGCCCAGGACAGGGATGTAGTTTATCTTCATACCCAGGACACCGATGTAGTTTATCGTCATGCCCAGGACACCGATGTAGTTTATCTTCATACCCAGGACACCGATGTAGTTTATCGTCTTACCCAGGACGCGGATGTAGTTTATCTTCATACCCAGGACACCGATGTAGTTTATCGTCTTACCCAGGACGCGGATGTAGTTTATCTTCATACCCAGGACACCGATGTAGTTTATCGTCATGCCCAGGACAGGGATGTAGTTTATCTTCATACCGAGGACGCGGATGTAGTTTATTGTCTTACCCAGGACGCGGATGTAGTTTATCCTCATACCCAGGACGCGGATGTAGTTTATTGTCTTACCCAGAACGCGGATGTAGTTTATCCTCATACCCAGGACGCGGATGTAGTTTATTGTCTTACACAGGACGGGCCAATATGCGAACATTCCTATGCCTATTCAGTGTAATCATGATATAATTTCAAACAATCACTGTTTCGCATTGACGATTCTTTTAATTATCCTGATGTGGTAGGGTCACGATAACTTTTGATATGTTCTAAATCGTATTTTAATTATTTGAATTGTCTTTAAGCGTTTTATGAATTTCTACCCACTGTGC